ACATTTTGGAAGTGTATTTTCATCAGAAAGAATTGTTCGGCAATTACCTGAAAGTATTGAATTTTGGAATAAGTTAATTAGGAACATGCTACCAAACAATCCAATTATAAATAATATTGCAGATAAAATCGTTGATAAGATTGGAGGATTGAATAGTTTTATTGGTGTACATTCTAGATTAAGAAGTGGCTTTTTTGTCAAGAGACGAAATAATACAGTACAAGGACTCATCGAAAAAATTCAAACAGATTTTAAAGATGGAGTTTGTTTAACAACAAAAATATATATGGCAATAGATTTAGAGCGAAATCATTCTTCCCTTCAACCGCTCTTTAAAACATTCTCATGTATCTACGTACTAGATGACTTTAATGATCTTTTAGAACCTTTAAAATTTTTAAAAAATCCTAGAGATGGTATGATCATGTATAAATTTCTAATACCGTTAGTAGATTTGATAGTAGTATCAAAAGGCAGTAAGTTTTATGGAACTGAAAAGAGCACTTTTTCAAGTTACGCTAAACGATTAAATGAAGCATGGATTAGATGATTTAACAATAGTTGTATAAAATATATATCATTTTATATTTTATTAGTATATTATTTTATATTTTATTAGTATATTATTTTATATTTATTAGTGTATTATTATATTAATATATTAGCTTAGTATTGTTTCTTATTCGAATCATTATGATTCAAGAAACATAATTTTTTTTCATTACTATAATATTTTTAATTTTTGGTGAACTTTCAACTTTAGCTGCATTTAAGATTTTAAATAAATTTACAATCTTACGCTTTTAGTATTTGGAGAGAATTTTAATTTGGAATTACACGCTTTGTACATCTTTATTTTTAGCAACATTGTAAAATTTTTTACAAAAGGCAGGAGATGAAACAATATGATAAGAGGTTGAAATCTTTACAAAAAAATTCCCAAGTCCTGATAGAATACAGAATAGTAAGAAAAACTAAAGTCGGTAGGTATTTGATAGTTGAAACTAAAATCATCAAATCTAAATAGACCTGCTTAATAAAAAAAACGGTAATATTAAAAAAAGTATTAATCAATAAGAAAAGTAATTTCGTGATGTGAGCATATATGGCTTTATAGTTGTTAGACGAAACTTTATTATCATGATAACGAAATGTGAAACCCAAAAATATCA